GCGGTGCTGAGGCTGGAGGTGGCGGAGGTACTGCTGCTGCTGGATGTGCTGGAGCCGCTGGTCCCGGAGGTGCTCGTACTGGAGGTACTGGAGCTGCTGGGACTGGTGGTGCTGCAGGAGTTGGAGCTGGAGGTGCTGGAGCTGGTGGTGCTGCGGGAGTTGGAGCTGGAGACCCTGGAGCTGAGGGTACTGGTGCTGTCTCTGCTGTTTCTGGAGGCGCTGCGCGGCCGCGGCCGTACTACGTTCCGCTCCTTCAGCAGGTTCTTGGCCTACCGCTTTCTACTGGTCCCACTCCTCCTTTACTGAGTCCACCGCCTGTCCAGTCGCAGTCGCAGTTACAGCCAGCCCCTCCACTGCCTGGTCCTTCTCCTTACTCTGGACCGACTAGAGGTCTTACGCAGCGTCGTGCGCCTGAGTCTCGTCCTGCGTCGCCTGAGTCTCATCCTGAATCGCCTGTATGCGCTGTTCGCACTGGTCGTGTTCCGCGTCAGCGTCCTCCTCATGTCCCTGGCACTCACTATATGACTTTGCGTCCTTCCACTGCTCCACAGCGTGTCCCTCTGTCGTCTCCTCCTGCGTCCTCTCTTCCTGACGTCCCTGACCCGCCGTCAGACCTTGCTCGTGCTGCCAGTCCTACTGTCACGCGTCTTCTCGCTACTGTTGTCACTTACCCTTTGTTTGAGTCCAGTGCTGCGTCTGCTCTAGTTGCTGAGCTTATTGACTTTGCTGCCGCCTATCGTCTAGACTACGCCACTAGTCTTGTTGCTGAGTTTGCGTCTGAGTCTATCTGTCCTCCGTCCGCCGGGGTGAGTGTGCTCTTGGCACGGACGTCCTTGAGGACAGACAGGAGGAGTTTGAGTGCTTTGCCGCTGCTTTACCTCATCTCGTGTCCATGCTGCTTGCCCCTGAGGGAGACCCGGATGCACCAGACATCCCGACCCCGCGCTCTTACGCAGAGGTGATAGAGGGTCCCTACTCCTCTCAGTGGCAGACAGCCATGGACGCAGAGATGGCTTCCTGGAAGTCCACAGGCACCTACGTCGACGAGGTTCCCCCACCTGGGGCGAACATCGTCAGTGGCATGTGGATTTTCAGGGTGAAGCGGCCGCCAGGTTCTTCGCCTGTCTTCAAGGCGCGTTACGTCGCACGAGGCTTCAGTCAGCGACAGGGAATTGACTTCTTCCGGACCTTCTCCCCTACCCCGAAGATGACCACTCTTCGGGTTCTACTGCACGTCGCCGCTCAGCGAGACTACGAGCTTCACTCCCTTGACTTCAGCACTGCTTTCCTACAGGGCAGCCTACACGAGGAGATCTGGCTGCGCCGCCCACCTGGCTTCACTGGGTCGTTTCCTGCTGGTACCCAGTGGAGCCTCCGGCGACCAGTCTACGGTCTCCGCCAGGCACCCCGTGAGTGGCACGACACACTGAGGACGACTCTTGCTGCTCTTGGGTTTGCTCCTTCTACTGCTGACCCGTCGCTGTTTCTACGCACCGACACCACTCTGCCGCCGTTCTACGTTCTCGTGTACGTAGACGACTTGGTCTTTGCTACTTCTGACACTGAGGGACTCGCCCACGTGAAGTCGGAGCTGCAGAAGAGACACACGTGCACAGACCTGGGTGAGCTGACAAGCTATCTTGGCTTGCGGATCACCCGGGACAGAGCACAGCGCACCATTACCTTGACTCGGTCACACATGGTGCAGCAGGTCCTTCAGCGCTTCCGCTTCACGTACTCCTCGCCACAGTCCACTCCTCTGCCTACCGGTCACTCGCTCTCAGCTCCACCTTCGGACGAGTCCGTAGAGCTGAGTGGCCCGTATCCAGAGCTTGTGGGCTGCCTCATGTACCTGATGACATGCACTCGACCTGACCTTGCCTACCCTCTTAGCATTCTGGCACGCTATGTCGCTCCTGGCCGACACAGGAAGGAGCACATGGATGCTGCTAAGAGGGTGTTGCGCTACTTGTGCAGTACGTCGGGCATGGGGCTCGTGCTTGGAGGACGGGCTCGAGTTGTCCTCACTGGTCACGCAGACGCTTCCTGGGCTGACGACTTGGCTACGCAGCGGTCGTCACATGGTTACACCTTCAGTCTTGGCTCCGGCTCTGTCTCTTGGCAGTCTACCCGCTCGTCTTCTGTTCTCAGCTCCAGTTGTGAGGCTGAGATCTACGCAGGGGCCATGGCTGCACAGGAGTTACGCTGGCTCACCTACCTGCTCACCGACATGGGAGAGCCGCCTCGTTCTCCTCCAGTGCTGTACGTCGACAACAAGGCCATGATTGCCTTGTGTCAGGAGCACAGACTGGAGCACAGAACGAAGCACATTGCTCTGCGCTACTTCCTTGCTCGAGAGTTGCAGCAGCGTGGTCAGCTTCGTCTTGCGTACGTGGCCACTCGGGCCAACACTGCTGATGTCTTCACCAAGGCACTTCAGCCTTGTGATCATCTAGGCCTTGTGCCTACTGTGCCTCACTTGCTTACTTCTTGACTTTGCTTGTACTGTGATCCTTATATATGTATACCTGCATGTTTACACTTTCTAGGTTCTGATACCGTACTGCTTGTTGTATTATCAAACTGCATGTGAATTGGTCTTGTGGCCGCATGCTTGTGCTCGGAATTTGTGTGGTATTCTTGAGATCCACCCTAAGCTTGCTTTGCTTTTCTTGACTGGTCTTGTGACCTCTTGTTCTCCCCCACTTTGCCTATGGGGGTGTGTCAAACTTATATGCTATAGCTTGTTTAGGCTGTAATGGGGTAGTCAATATGGGGTACAACTTTTTAGGGTTTCACTACTTGTACCCAACTTCCTGCTAATGCAATCACTTCTTGTTTCTAGTTTCAACATTTCAGACTTTTTTTTGGGACACTGGCGATCAGGGATTCTACACAGAGGGACCCTGATGCATTAACGTGCCTAAAAGTGAATCATAGGCCCTGCTTGTTACAAGAAGAACAAGAATATGAAAGTGAAATTCCACTAATCCAAAAAGCTCCGCAACCCTAAGACGATTTTGTCGTCTTGTGTTTTTTATGCAATCTGTAACATTTGCGTAGTGTGTAGAAACCACCCAAGTGGCAGATTCATTGATTTCGGCCGACGTTGGGGGTGATGCATTTTTGAATTTGTGATGACTTTGTAGGATCGTCAAATGTTGATCGTACGTAGTGTAGTAGCGGAATGTTTGTTAGTCATGTCGGGTACGTACTCTGTCAGTAAAATGAGATTTGAATCTCGACATAAGTGACTAATACAATGCGGTACATGGGTTTATATAGGAGTACAGTGGAATACGAAAGGGTTTAGCTAGCCATGTACTCTGAGGGGGTACTGTCAAACTATGTTGGATAGTTTAGATAGGCTTTAGTGAGTCACATCATACGGGGTACACAAATTACTCTCGACAAATTTCCGTTACAAATTAATCCACCATTCTCACCTACCATTCTATTACTCTAGTTAGTAGTTTCTAAGATGTTATCAGACGTAGGTTCGTTCCTAGACTAAGCGTAACGCGACTCGACCTGTTCGTAACGCGCCTCGTCTGTAGCGCGCTCCGTAACGCCCCGTCACGCTTCTTAACGCGTCCCCCCCCTCGGCAAGCGCGCGCGAAGCAGCTTCTGCCCGCACGCACGCGCGCATAGGCCGCCACGCGCTGCCCCGCCCTTTTTCGTCCCGTCCCGCGCCCTGTCCTGCCGCGCGCGCAGCCAGCAGCACGCAAAGCCGCGAGCAGGTAGTGCGCACAGCAACAGCAGCCGCGACCGTGCGCACCGACGCACGCGCACGAGCGGCAGCCGCCGCCACGCGCGCGGGCACCCGCCGCCGCCGCGAGTGCAGCAGCCGCCGCCGCGAGCGCAGCAGCCGCCACCGCTCGGCACTACGGCCCCTACCCGCGCCCCGCCCCGTCACGTGCTGCGCCCTGCACTGCTGCCCGCGCGCAGCCCCACGTACGCCGCCGCACGCGAGCAGACGCGCGGAGCAGCAACTTTACGCGCACCCGCAGCTTCCTACGCACTAGTAGCCACGCGCAGCAGCAGCGACTCCACGTGCCTTCGCTACGCACTGCTGCCCGTGCTCCTTGACGAGCCCGCTCGTTTCCCACGGCACTGAACCGTTCCTACCCGCTACTGACCGCTCCCCACCGCGCTAGACCGCACTCAACCGCACTCGACCGCACCTGGAAGCTGCAACTGCACACGTCCATGCTGTCTCTCCCACACGCCTCCTGCCATTGCCGTTTCTCACGGCGGCTGGCAGCCGTAGTCTCCTCTTCGAGCGAGTTTTAAGCTTCTAGCCTAGTTGTTCCTCATGTTCCTAGGTTTCGCATTCTAGCTCCGTTCGCCACCCTCTTCACCGGTTTCTAGGCTAGCCTCCACGCCACGTTTTCGTGCGGCTGTTACTAGCTCCTGCCGCTCTCACGCTTCTCTGGCTTGTGCGTTGGCGTCCACTAGAGTTCTGCGGCGGCAGGGCCAGCCGCAGTGGCAGCAGCCGCAGCACTCCCGGCAGTGTATATAACATCTCGCTACCCACTGGGTCAAAACGAGGTGTTATTTGGCGCAGCGGAATGCCCATTAACACTTAGCCCACAGGCGTTACACTCGTCCCCCCCTGGTGTCAACGTCCTCGTTGACTAACTTCAGGGAGTCGTCCCCCCACGGGGACCTATACTTCGCTGAGGAGGCAGCAGCGACTTCGCTGGTGGACCAGGCCAGCGGAGGACCGTTCACTGGGTTCAGCCTGGTAACCACATTCAAGTTCTCGCCACAGGCGGAAGATGTGGATCAGCCAGGAATTTGAACCCTAGGCTCTGATTCCAGTATAACATCTCGCTACCCACTGGGTCAAAACGAGGTGTTATTTGGCGCAGCGGAATGCCCATTAACACTTAGCCCACAGGCGTTACAGTGTAGGCCCCTCCCCCCTCCCCCCCCCCTCCTCCCCTCCTTGGTCCCTTTCCGTCGCGCTCCTCCTGTCGCGCCTCGTCAATACGGGGATGCTGCTCGGGTATAGGTTCGGCAGTTACTTGGTGCATAGATTTGACAATTGGCTCAACGGTACGTCTGTAAACAGGCTCTGTCAGGACTCCGTGCGCCGCTGCGTTGGGCACAAGTGCGAGCGAGGAGGGGCGGCGCCAGGCGCGTGGAGAAGGGAAGGTGACGGCGCGCAAGTGACTGGGGCTCGAGGGAGGGCCGGGCCAGCAGCTGCAGCTGCAGCTGCCACTGCCACACGCGCGGGCCGTGGCTGCACGGCGAGGGGCGCGGCTACAGGGGCAGGCGGGCTGGACGAGCTGCGCGAGCGGGGTGGGGGGGAGGCGGAGGGACGAGCGAGAGGGGACGCGCAGCAAGGGTGCACAGAGGGAGGCGAGAGGAGCGAAGGCGGCGAGAGGAGCGAAGGGGGCAGAGGCGAGGGGATGGTGGCGCACGGCCCGACAGGCGGTGCGTGCGAGGATGAGGCGAGCGCCGCGCGCCGAGGCCGCGGGTGGCAGCGAGAGGAGCGGGCGGAGGGGCGGGCATGGGAGGCGGGGGGCGAGCGGCGGGTGATTGTGATTTCGGGCCCCACGGCCGTGGGCAAGTCGCGCCTGGCGCTGGCCGTGGCGCAGGCGGTGCGCGGCGGCGAGGTGGTGAGCGCGGACTCGGTGCAGGTGTACCGCCACCTCAACGTCGGCTCCGCCAAGGCCTCCCCCAACGAGCAGCGCCGCGTGCCCCACCACCTGCTGGACATCCGCGAGCCGTGGCAAGGTGGGGCACGGTGGGGCACGGTGGGGCACGGTGGGGCACGGTGGGGCACGGTGGGTGGGCCGTGCGAGGTGGCGGGGCCGTGCAGTGGGCGGGAGGCAAGAAAGGTGGGTTATGGAATGGTGCGAGTGAGGTGCAGGGTGCGTGCAGGGAGGGAGGAAGGCAAGGTAGTTTGATGATGGCGACGACACAGACACGGCGTCAGCAGCACCCTGCCAGCAGCACCCTGCCAGCAGCACCCTGCCAGCAGCAGCATCCCCCCTCCTTCCCCCCGTCATCCCCCATCCTCCCCCCCCGTCATCCCCCATCCTCCCCCCCCCGTCATCCCCCCTCTTTCCCCCATCATCCCCCCTCCTTCCCCCATCATCCCGCCTCCTCCCCACATCATCCCCCCTCCTTCCCCCATCACCCCCCCCTCCTCCCTCCGTCATCAACCCTCCTCCCCCCATCATCCCCCCTCCTCCCCCCGTCATCCCTCCTCCTTCCCCCGTCATCCCCCCTCCTCCCCCATCATCCCCCCTCCTTCCCCCATCATTCCCCCTCCTCCCCCCATCGTCCCCCCTCCCCCCCCTTCATCCCGCTCTCCCCCCCCAGAGTTCACGGCGGGCGACTTCTACGAGGCGGCGCGGGCGGCGGTGGATGGCGTGGTGCAGCGGGGGGGCGTGCCGGTGGTGGTGGGCGGCACGGGGCTGTACCTCGCATGGCTGCTGCACGGCCGCCCCGCCACGCCCCCTTCCTGCCCCAACCTGGAGCGCACCGTGGCCGCCGAGATCCACGCCGCTGTCATGCGCGCCCGGCGGGCCAGGAGGGGTAAGAGGAGCGTAGGGGCGGTTGGTGGGGCAGAAGAGGCAGCAGGTGGGGATGCAGCAGAGGGAGTGATGGAGGGACGGGCGTCAGCAGCGGACATAGTGAGGGGCGGCTTGGAGATAGCGTTGAGTGCCGACGAGAGGAGCGAGGAGGGCAACGATGGTGCGGGTGTGGGTGTGGGGGGAGGTAGCATGGTTGTGGGGGGAATGGAGGGGGAGACGGGGCAGGACGAAGTGTGGACAGGGGGAGAGGCGAGGGAGCGGGGGTGGGCGAGCAGGCAGCCGCGTGTGCGGTACACAGAGGAGGGCGACTGGGAGGCTGCTCTGGCTGCTCTTGCTGCTGCGGGAGATCCAATCACCGCAGGCCAGCTGGCACGGAATGACTGGTACCGGCTGACCAGGGCATTTGAGATCCTCAGGGTATGTGTGCGTGTGGGGGCCACTGTGTGCCTGTGGAGGGGGCAAGAGTGGTGAAGAGGCAAGAGTGGTGAAAGCATAATCGTGGAGGAGTGTCCCCCATCCAGCAGGTCAGGGACAGTGAGGTGAGCGGCACTAATTCGCAACCAGCAGGCCAGGGACCGTGAGCGACACTAAATCGCATCCAGCAGGGCAGGGACAATAAATCGCCCACGCCACCGTCCTCTCCTTCCCTCTCTTCCTCGTTTTTCACTTGATGACCATTTTCCCTCCTTTTCACGTCACGGCTTTTTTTTCCGAGCCTGTCTAAGCCTGTGCCTGTCTCCCGTCCGTCAGGCCACGGGTCGGCCTCGATCCGAGATCACCGTGCCTTCCCACCACGCCAAACACACCGCCCCCCCTGCTGCTGCTGCTGCTGCTGCTGCTGCTGCTGCGGCCTCCTCGCCACCACCATTCGCCTTCCACTGCTTCTTCCTGGACGCCCCTCGCCTGCCGCTGTACCGCCGAATAGACAGACGCTGCGAAGAGATGGTGCAAGGTGAGGCGAGCCATGATGCAAGGTGAGGTGAGCCATGGTGCAAGGTGAGGCGAGCCATGGTGCTTGGTTGGTAGGTGGAAGGACGCATGGCCTTTGAGGTCGTACTTGGTGACTCCAGTCCGCTGCACCCTCCTCTCACCATTGCCCTCGTTCGTATGCTCCACACGAGGCCTCGCGCCTTTCACAACCCCACGGCGCCCCGTCATCCTCATGCATCCATCTCCTGCCTTCCTCATGCATCCATCTCCTGCCTTCCTCATGCATCCATCTCCTGCCTTCCTCTGCATGCCCCATCGCCCCGTGCCCTCACCCGTGCTCTCTCCGCCCACGTGGCGGGCAGGCGGGCTGCTGGAGGAGAGTCTAGCGCTGCTGCGCGTGGGGCTGCTGCCCGACTCCTCCTCGCCCACGCGCGCAATCGGCTACCGCCAGGCCATGTGCTTCCTGCTGCACTGCCACCGCCTCATGGAGCAAGTGGGGAGCAGTGAGGTGCCAGGGCAGCAAGGGCAGCAGGTGGAGGTGCAGGCGGCGCTGCAGGCGGCGCTGGTGGCGTTCATCTTGGAGTTCCAGCAGGCGTCGCGGCGCTACGCCAAGCGCCAGATCACATGGTTCCGCTCCCAACCGCTCTTCCAATGGCTGCCCGCCCATACCCCCCTGGTGCGCGGAATTGCCCCCCTGGTGCGCGGAATTGCCCCCCTGGTGCGCGGAATTCCCCCCCTGGTGCGCGGAATTGCCCCCTTGGTGCGCGGAATTGCCCCCCTGGTGCGCGGAATTGCCCCCCTGGTGAGCGGAATTTCCCCCCTGGTGAGGCTCATGCTCCGCTGGTGAAGCAACATAGGTGCGTGAAGCAACAAAGGTGCGTGAAGCAACAAAGGTGCGTGAAGCAACAAAGGTGCGTGAAGCAACATAGGTGCGTGAAGCAACAAAGGTGCGTGAAGCAACAAAGGTGCGTGAAGCAATGTAGGTGCGTGAAGCAACGTAGGTGCGTGAGGCAACAAAGGTGCGTGAAGCAACGTAGGTGCGTGAAGCAACGTAGGTGCGTGAAGCAACAAAGGTGCGTGAAGCAACAAAGGTGCGTGAAGCAACGTAGGTGCGTGAAGCAACGTAGGTGCGTGAAGCAACAAAGGTGCGTGAAGCAACAAAGGTGCGTGAAGCAACATAGGTGCGTGAAGCAACAAAGGTGCGTGAAGCAACAAAGGTGCGTGAAGCAACATAGGTGCGTGAAGCAACAAAGGTGCGTGAAGAAACATAGGTGCGTGAAGCAACATAGGTGCGTGAATGAAGAATCAAAGGTGCGTGAAGCAACATAGGTGCGTGAAGAAACAAAGGTGCGTGAAGCAACACAGGTGCGTGAAGCAACACAGGTGCGTGAAGCAACATATGTGCGTGAAGCAACAGTGTGCTGATGTTTCAAACCACTTGGTTGGTCATTGCTGGTGCGTTGAAATCTCCTTGCCTGAACCAGGTCCTTGGGTTTAAGGTCGCCCAGGTCATTGGCTGTACTCCTGAGCACATGCTCATTCAATTATGCCGCTTCATCCTCCCCTCCCCCTCTCTGCCTGCCCCAGGACGAGCTAGTGGAGATGGTACTGCGGGACTTTGATGGATTCATGCGTTCGGAGGGGCAGGCGGGTGGGGAGGGGAGGGGAGGGGCAGAGAGCAAGGGGAGGCAGGGTGGTGGTGGAGAAGACGGCAGTGGAGGGGCGTGGGACAAGGCGGTGAGGCGAGAGCAGCGCAGGGAGAGGGCGGAGGAGGAGAGGGCGCTCAAGGGGTACCGGGCGAAGCTTGAGTGCGACTCACTCCCACGCCATCCTTGCATGCTCTCTGCATCGTCCACTGTCTCTCGTGTCGTTGCCTTTTCTCCTCTCTCCTCTCCTGCTCTCTGCAGTTTCGCTCGCTCTTCTCTTCCTTTACTTGCTTTCCTCTGTCATTGCCAGCTCTCGTTCACTACTGCATAAATGTCTCTCATCTTTCTTCAACCGCCCAACTCAATTCCCCCCTCTTGCATGCTGACACTTCCTTCCCGCTCCGTTCTCCTGGCCCCATCACCAGTGGACGGTGCTGCACCCAGCAGTGCATGATGGTGCGCCCACTGCTGGGGAGACAGCACCAGTGCAGCCGTCCGTGCACCTTACCGTGCTGCCATCCCCCACCCCACAGGATCTACTGCGACCAGCAGGCCATCGATGCCACGCTGGCGTGGATTCGAGCCAACGTTACGCTACACCAACCATGCTCACAGGATGAGCAAGTCAGCGCTGCTGCTGCAGGTGTGCCCGGGAGCCCAGAAGCCGCAACACAGCGTGCTCTGGCCACGTGAGAAGAACCCATTCAGAGATGAGTGCATTTGTAGAATTCTATGCGTTCATTGGTCTGGACCAGGGCCCGTGCTAGGATTTGGGGCACCCTGATTTGTCAGGACAATTTTTTAAAGCCTTCCTGTATGTTCAGGGCTTGCAGAAATTATTCCTGACCTGTCAGGGCAAAAAAACCTTTGGACCAGACCAGACTCTGCTGAGCTGAGCAGAGCAGAGCAGCACATATAGTTGGAGTTTTACTACTCAATTAACTACTACACCTCCTCTTAGCCCTCCTCCTCCTCATCATCATCATTGCTGCTGCTACTAAACCCACTGTCGCTGCTGCTGCTGCCATGTTCAGAATTTGCTTCTTGTCCGTCCTCCAACACGTTCCCCTTCCCCGCCGCACTCACTGGCCTGTGCCTCTGCTGTGCCACAAATACACAACTTTACCCCATTCCATGTCATACTCAACCAGGCTCAGGCACATCAGGTCACTGAACCTGGCATCACAGAGGCTGGTCCTTTGCCAGGACTTAATCACGTTCTGGCGGCTAAAGCCGCGCTCACACTCGACGGTGCTGAGCGGCAGGACAGCCACCGCTGTCCAGAGGCGGACGAGGTTGGGGTAGCTCCGCTCCCAGTCCTTCGTTCGCAGCATGGCCGCCAGGCCGCGTTGAAATGTACGCTCGCCTCGAGGACTGCCAGCCAGGACAGGGACGAATGTCCTCAGTTCCCTCTTGGCAGCACGCTTGTCCACACCTGCCACGCATTACACACAGAACAGGGACAGAAGAAGGCGGCTTCTGGTTATACACAGAGCAGGGACAGAACAAGGCAGGTTCTGGTAAATACACAGAGCAGGGACAGAACAAGGCAGATTCTGGACAAAGGACAGAATGGGTAAGGCGATCTAGATGTGCTTACCTGGGAGAATGTCTGCTCGCTCGCGGGCATGGAACAAGTCGACGAGAGTCTCGAAGTGCTCGAGGCACTCCTCAGCGCCTCCCTCCTTGTCATCAGGGTACGTGTCTGGCATAAAAAGCCTGACACCGTTCAGGCTTTCGAGATCCCCCGGCCTCGTCTGGAGGTGGCTGAGCGTCGACTTGGCGTGGCGGCGGCAGACGTCGAGGCACGACTGCAAGTCATCCGGGGTCTTGCTGTAGCCTGTCAATGCTGTCATATAATTTGACAAATGCCTCCTCGTGCAGCTCGAAGCTATGTTTTCGCGGGCGCCCCTCCTTGTCCACACCATCCACCGTGATTTTGCGAGACTTACTGAGCCTGGCTAGGAAGGCCCCGAGATGTTGCTGTGGGCCGCCACCGAAGTCATCGCCGCACTCGATGTAGCGCGTACGGATGGTGATCAAGGTGCGGCACACAGTCGACTGCACCGATGTCATGTCGACCTGCCACATGACAAGGTACAGTTTCAACAAGGACCGTACCACAATGCTAAGGGTCTCGGGCTTACAAAGGCTACTCACCTCCCGCTTCTGAAACTCCAGGTTGAGGTTGTTGAGGATGATGAGCATGTCGGCAAGGTAATAAAGATACACATTGAACTTCATTGAAGTCACAATGTGGTAAAAGTCGTCGTCCCACTCCCACAGGAGCACGATGACGGCAGGGAGCACACACACCAAGCGCGTGATGGCATCCACGTGGCTCAACCAACGAACTGCGTGAATTCCCTGCAGTTCAAGGTTTGTCTGGCAGAGCACCTCCTGCAGCTCTTTGAACTCATTGTGAGAGGGATGCGACCTTCCCAGGTATTCTGCGAGTTCCTTTAGTATAGTGTCAATTAGGCCCAGCTCAGGGACTGCAGTGGCGGCGTCCTTGGCTGCCAGCACCTCTCTGCACGACATGATGTGGGCACGAGAGAAGGGATGGTAACGGGGAGAGAAGGGGAGATGGGTTTGAGAGGGAGGATTACCTCGACTGTTTCTGCGGGCCGTTGCTGTCTGTCCACGTGGAGACTATGGAACAGAGCACAGTCACGTCTGGAGCGGGGAGGGGGGCAGGGGGTGGGGTGGGGGGAAAGGAGGGGGGGAACAAAAAGGGTGGGGAATGGCATGAGCTTGTGATAATGTGAGCGCCTGCCTGCCTTGCTGTTTCTACACAACGTGATGGGCATTCAGATGCAACACACACATGCAATGAGTAGTACTCGCCGATGTGCAATGCAATGGCTGGAGAAGAGGTGCGGGACCCGTACACGCAGCCGAGCCACCAGCCCGTTTGTGCTACCCAGCATCGCACCTGCGCCATCCGTGCTATTCCCGGCCACCCTGCTCATGTCGATACCAAGTGATTCAAGGAGTGTCAGCATCAGGGAAAGCAACGAAGCGCCATCACATTTCTCCACCGTCAGTAGCCCGATGAACTCAGTGACTACACGAGAGTCACGGAGAAACGTGGCAAACACGATCTGGTGTTTGCCATGCACACGATCCGTGCTCTCGTCACAGGTTAGTCCGATAAATGGACTGGACTGCAGCCAGGCGTCCTGACGAGCACGAAGATATGTTGCAGTGCTTGCGATGAGCTCGGCAAAACCATATCTGCATCCAACGAAAGAAGGTACTGTGGGTTAGCAACGGTGTGAAAGTTGTGAGCAATCCACGTACTAAGGTTCTCGAGTATAGCAGCTATTGTTGATCAACGGCTCACTTGGTGTAATAAGCACCGTAGCCATTCTTGGGGAAGCCTGGTGTCTGTCGCTCTGCAAGGTGCCGAACTAAATGAACCCACATCTCAATTGGTGCGTCACATTTGCAGATGAAAAGCAGGGTCTCCAGCAGCCCGATGACTCTTACACGCTGGATGTCTCCAGCCTTTGGGCAGTCGATGATGCGCTGATGCTTCTTAGCCGCCTGCTCCTCCAGGGCCTATCTCTTGACAGACCGTCTGTGCTTCCTGGACCTTTGATGCGTGCGGAACGCCTGGGTTTGGACGTCGACGGCACCTTCGCCAGCAGCGCCGTAGTTTGTGCCGTGTCCTGCGTGCACGATACACAAACTGCACCTCACTGATGGGAAACCGAAGGATGTTTGACAAAGCATGAGCCACGGGAAATCAGTTGACCATTCCCGTTTGTACTTCATAAGCGCCTCCTGGTATTTATCCTCTGCCTCATCGCGCAATTCCTCAGTAGACGAAGATTCTGCAAGAACGGCCGATGGTCCTGGTAAAGCTGGCTCTAAGCGGATAGGTACGGTGGGTTCCGTAGGACTATCGCGAGAGAACGACAAGCACGACTGTTTGTGCTTGGTCGCTCTTAACTTAGCAGTAGCGGCAGGGCCGATGCGTGTCGCACCAGGTGGTACAACGTTGGTGCCGTTTGTACTAGCACGGGCGTGTGTGACTGCGGGAGTTCGAGATGAACCAGCTGCAGGTGAACCTGTTGGTAAGGTGGACCCAGCTCGAACAGGACGCAAGAAGTCTAATCCGGTTAGACCCCGTGATACTGGCGCCGTGCCATCGTCCTCTATGGCCATGACTAGTGAGAGTGAGCCAGCCGAGCTTCACTAGTGCTGCTGCTACTCTAACAGCAACACTGGAAGGGTGTTGGTTGGAGGAGTGCTCAACATCAGCGAGAGAGACACCCAGCTAGTGCATGCATGGCACACGACGAGTTGCCTTGCCCAACCTGTTCCCAGTCTGATGGGTTTGGCTGGTGCGTTGCGGGGGATCGGAACAGAACTGTCAAAGAGATAGTGCGAAGGCGGGAAACATACACGGGGAAAAAATTCAACGGAGACAAAAATCCCCGGGGAAAAAAATCCCCGGGAACGGGAACCCCTCCCTCCCCATCCCCCCCAAACCCCCCCCTCCCCCCCCCCCCCCCCCTCCCCCCCCCCCCTTCCCCCCTTAAAAAAACGCTACAGGGAAGAACACTACGGCCATCCTGAATGTTCAGGGCATTTCAGATAAAAACATACTGAGACCTCAGGGTTAAAACCCGCAGCCTGAATTACAAACAGTGTTGAGAGGTGTTAACACTTTTAGTCCCGAACCTGGGTGGTTGCCAGGTGCCCAACCAGTAAACGTGAGGAAGTCGCACGCAACACAGGGAAGGATCGCAAGGGTCCCTGGCAACGAGTTTGGCTGTGAGTGTGCACACCTAGCAGGAGTTTTGTAATTCAGGTCGACAGAAATCGGGGAGTTCCTAGCCTACTATTAGCCTGCACTACTGCTTAGATCTGGATATCTTTTTCCAGCTACTGCAGTCTCTATCGCAATCGTTGTGATTTTGTGACGCACTCCCGTCGCATTAGAGCGTCTCCTCTCCGTCGCCCACGCTCATCCCTCCTGTCGCGTAAACATATTCACATGCGTCGCCTACGCTCATCCCTCCCGTGCACGAGGGGCATGTTCCCCTGCGACGCCCGCGATCATCCCTCCCGTCGCGTAAACATATTCCCCCCCCATGGCCCGCGCTCGCTCCCCTCCCGTCGCCTTCGCTCTTTCCCCTCGTCCACGCTCACTCCCTCGCGTCGTATTCGCTCATTCCCCCCCTTCGCGGATGCTCACTCCCTCCCGTCGTATTCGCTCACTCCCCTTCCTCCGCCCACGCGCACTCCCTCCCGTCGCGCTCGCAGTATCCCCTTCCGCCGCCCACGCGCACTCCCTCCCGTCGCGCTCGTAGTATCCCCTTCCGCCGCCCACGCGCACTCCGTCCCGTCGCGTTCGCTCACTCCCCCCGTCGCGTTCGCTCACTCCCCCCGTCGCGTTCGCTCACTCCCCCCCGTCGCGACAGTCCCCTCCGTCGCATACGCTCATTCCCCTCAATCGCCCACCTTCACTCCCCTCCGTCGCCCACGCTCACTCTCTCCCGTCACCCACGCTCACTCCGACGGGAAGCACGCTCATTCCTCTTCCGTCGCCCACGCTCACTGCCCGTACGTCGCACACGCTCACTTCCTTCCGTCGCCCACGCCCGCTCCCTCCCGTCGCCTCCGCTCACTCCCCGTCCGCCGCCCACGCTCGCTCCCTCCCGTCGCGTTCGGCCCCATCCGTCGCGCACGCTCACTCCCCTGCCGTCACACACGTAGGCACCCTCCCCTCGACCGAGAAGGCATTCTCCGCTTCCGTCGCATACGCGTTCATCTCCCCATTCCTCATCTCCCCGTCCCTCATCTCCCCGTCCCTCATCTCCCCGTCCCTCATATCCCCATCCCTCATCTCCCCATCCCTCATCTCCCCGTTCCTCATCTCCCCGTCCCTCATCTCCCCATCCCTCATCTCCCCGTCCCTCATCTCCCCATCCCTCATCTCCCCATCCCTCATCTCCCCGTCCCTCATCTCCCCGTCCCTCTTCTCCCCGTCCCTCATCTCCCCATCCCTCATCTCCCCATCCCTCACCTCCCCATCCCTCATCTCCCCATCCCTCACCTCCCCATCCCTCATCTCCTCACGCCCATTTTCTCCGTGCTTCGATTGCGTATACAAGCTGCACCTACTAATTTCGGTTGTCTGAAAGGTGCTCACTCTAAAATCCTAGCTGGTGTGCGATGGTCGGATTCTAATAGCGAGTGAACCAGTTATCTGTCGCACCAGTTTTCTTATGCTGATCCAGCTCTCTGGGGTTGGTATGCGGATTGCCTGCGAACTGTTTGCCCCACGGGAGAGTCGCATTAGGTTTCGCTAACCCTTCAACCTTTCGCAATTCTTCCGCACCTCATATTGCCCGAACCCCCGACCTACCAAACCAAGCGTTGACTCAGTTTTTGTAATTCAGGCTTCGGGTTTTAAAATTGACACTATTTTGAAATGACAGGGTAAATTTAAAACTGCATGAATTCAGGGTAATCATGGTGTTTTGCCCTGATAACGTGGGGCCTGGTCTGGACTGCAATTCCCTCAGCCTCTTAGTAATCGCTCTCAAAAGTGTAGCGCACAATCGCGACCCTATAACGCACATACTCGTACGGTCCCCCCGAATTCAGACATGCTTTCATTCGTACTATTGTGCAGTGGGAAGCAAGGCCAAAGATACCTTAATCATCCGGATAACATGGGGACCTTTCTATACATACAGCCTAATAGGCCACTATCCGATCTGCGCATTCATCATGTAAGCGGCTCCATAGCAAAGGCCGCCAATCATGGTACCCTACCCGGACTTGGAGACGGAAGTCTACAACAACATCCTCAAGTGGAGGTCTGCTGGTGTCAGTGGCAATTGCGCGATTAGAGCATGGAGATAATGGCCCGGCAGCGGCGTTGAGTTGAAGACGAGCCAAAAATGGATATAGCTGTTGGGAAAAGTTAATATTTTACCTTTTGGGAAAGTGCCAAGCTACCGGAGCAAGTATTTTTTTTGCTGTCATCGCCCGAATATAAGACATACCGTATATGTATTATTTTACACACTAGAAAAAATGTTTGGGTTGTCTTATATTTGGGGAGGTTTTGGGTGTCTTATAAGTCTTAAAAAGGTACTTTATGCAATCTGTAACATTTACATAGAGTGTAGAAACCACCCAAGTGGCAGATTCATTGATTTCGGCCGACGTTGGGGGTGATGTATGTTAGAATTCGTAATGACTTTGTAGGATCGCCAAAGGTTGATCGCACGTAGTGTAGTAGCGGAAGGTTTGTTAGTAATGTCGGGTACGGACGCTGTCAGAAGGAGATTTGAATCTCGACATAAGTTACTAATATAATGCGGTACATGGGTTTATATAGGAGTATAGTGGAATACGAAAGGGTTTAGCTAGTCATGTACTCTGAGGGGGTACTGCCAAACTATGTTGGATAGTTTAGATAGGCTTTAGTGAGTCACATCCTAGGAGGTACACAAATTACTCTCAACATGCCTCTTGTATCCCTCCCTTTACCCTAATCAACCATTCTCACCTACCATTCTAGTACTCTAGTTAGTAGTTTCTCGGATGGTATCAGACGTAGGTGTTGGTGCAATCCTATGGTTTGCACTCAGCTTGTTGTCCGTGTGCGTGCATGCGTGTGTGCATGGAATGGTATGAGGGCATGAAATAATATATTTGTCATGCTTATAATCGTGTGTGAATGATGAGTCACGATGTCAAATGTATGTTTCGTGTCAATAGCGAGTTATCGCTAGTTGCGTGTTACGCGATCGTTTGTGTCTCACGCGCGGATTCTGTTTTGTCGTGTGTCTCTGAGAAGATTTGAACAAGAATGAATGAACTATGAAATGAAGTGAGAACAAATATGAAACCCTAATTGGTTGTACCCCCTATGGGATACCCCACTATAGCCTACACAACAGCATAAGCTATAATGTTTTGACACACCCCCATAGGCAAAGTGGGGGAGAACAAGGGGTCACAAGACCAGTCAAGCAAAGTAAAGCAAAGCAAGCTCAGGGTGGATCACAAAGTCACCACACAGTCCGAGCACAGGGTCAAGGCCACACGGCCAGTTCACATGCAAGAGTACACAAATATATATAAAGCTAGACAAGCAAGAGCAGGTATATATATATGTGAGAGTACAGGCAAGATCAAGAGGAGAGCAAGTGAGGCAAGACGGGCACAAGACCCAGCTGAGTGCAGAAGCGCTGATGATCACAAGGCGGAAGTGCCTTGGTGAAGACATCAGCAGTGTTGGCCTCAGAGGCCACGTACGCAAGCCGCAACTGACCACGTTGCTGTAGCTCACGAGCAAGGAAGTAGCGGAGAGCAATGTGCTTTGTTCTGTGCTCCAGTCGCTGCTCTCGACACAAGGCCAGCATGGCCTTGTTGTCTACGTACAGGACTGGAGGAGAAGGAGGCGGCTCTCCAAGGTCGGTCAGCAGGTAGGTGAGCCAGCGAAGCTCCTGTGCAGCCATGGCCCCGGCGTAGATCTCAGCCTCACAACTCGAGCCAAGAACAGAAGACGAGCGAGTAGCCCGCCACGAAACAGAGCCGGAACCAAGGCTGAAGGTGTAACCCTGTGACGACCGCTGCGTAGCCTGGTCGTCGGCCCAAGAAGCGTCCGCGTGCCCAGTGAGGACCACTGGACTCCGCCCTCCAAGCACTAGCCCCATTCCCGACGTACTGCACAAGTAGCGCAACACCCTCTTCGCTGCAGCCATGTGCTCTGGTCTGTGTCTCCCAGGAGCAACATAGCGTGCCAGAATGCTAAGAGGGTATGCAAGGTCAGGTCGTGTGCAGGTCATCAGGTACATGAGGCAGCCAACAAGCTCTGGGTACGGGCCACTCGACTCTACGGACTCATCCGAAGGCAGAGCTGAGAGCGAGTGGCGAGTAGACAGAGGAGTGGCCTGAGGCGAGGAGTACGTGAAGCCAAAGCGCTGAAGGACCTGCTGCACCATGTGTGACTGAGTCAGGGTAATGGTGCGGCGTGCTCTGTCCCGGGTGATCTGCAAGCCAAGGTAGCTGCGCAGTTCACCCAGGTCTGTGCACGTGTGTCTCTTCTGCAGCTCGGACTTCACGTAGGCGAGTCCAGCAGTGTCAGCTGTGGCAAAGACCAAGTCGTCGACGTACACGAGGATGTAGAACGGCGGCAGAGAGGTGTCGGTGCGTAGAAACAGCGACGGGTCGGCAGTAGAAGGAGCAAACCCAAGAGCCGCAAGTGTAGTCCTCAGTGTGTCGTGCCACTCACGTGGCGCCTGGCGGAGACCGTAGACTGGACGCCGGAGACTCCACTGGGTACCAGAAGGGAAAGACCCAGTGAAGCCAGGTGGGCGACGCAGCCAGATCTCCTCGTGCAGGCTGCCCTGCAAGAAAGCTGTGCTGAAGTCAAGAGAGTGCAGCTCGTAGTCACGGTGAGCAGCAACGTGCAGCAGTACCCGAAGAGTGGTCATCTTCGGGGTGGGGGAGAAGGTCTGAAAGTAGTCAACTCCCTGCCGCTGACTGAAGCCACGAGCCACGTAACGCGCCTTGAAGACAGGCGGAGAACCCGGCGGCCGCTTCACCCTGAAGATCCACATGCCACTGACGATGTTCGCCCCAGGAGGGGGGACAGCGTCAACGTAGGTGCCTGTGGACTTCCAGGAAGCCATCTCTGCATCCATAGCTGCCTGCCACTGAGAGGAGTAGGGACCCTCTATCGCCTCCGCGTAAGAGCGCGGAGTCGGGATGTCAAGTGCATCCGGGTCTCCCTCAGGGGTAAGCAGTACGGACACGAGATGAGGTGAGGCAGCTGCCAGACAGTGGAACTCCTCCTGCCTGTCCTCAAGGACGTCCGTGCCAAGGGCACACTCACCCCCGACGGACGGAGGACAGACAGACTCAGACTCAGCGACAAGACTAGCAGCGTAGTCTAAGCGACAGCGAGCAGCAAAGTCGACGAGCTCAGTAACTAGAGCAGACGCAGCAGTAGACTCGAAAGAAGGGTCAGTGACAACAGTAGCAAGGAGACGCGTGACAGTAGGACTGGCAGCACGAAGAGAGTCCGACTCCGGGTCGGCAAGAGCAGGAAGAGAGGACTCAGGAGGAGAAGGCAAAGGGGCACGCAGAGGAGCAGTGGACGGACGCAGAGACATCCGGTGCGTGCCAGGGACAGGAGGAGGACGCTGACGCGAACCGCGACCACTAGTGCGAGCAGCACGGACAGGCGACGCAGGGCGAGACGCAGGCTCACGACGCTCAGCCAGACCTCCAGTAGGACTAGTGTAGGGAGAAGGAGCAGGCAAAGGGGAGGTAGGCTGCAACTGTAGCTGGGACGAGACAGGCTGTGGACACTCTAAGGGAGGAGGAGGACCAGTAGAAGGTGGAAGACCAAGAACCTGCTGCAGGAGTGGCACGAAGTACGGTCGAGGCCGCGCGGCGACGCTAGAAGCAGCAGGGACAGCACCAGAACCCTCAGCAGGAGCACCCGCTCCAGCAGCACCACCAGTAGCTCCAGAACCTCCAGCAGCACCAGGAGCACCCCCAGTAGGACTGCCAGCGGTAGTCTCAGCGCCAGCACCCTCAGCAGCACCAGCTCCAGTGCACCCAGGACGAGCACCTCTGGGACCCGCGACCGCAGCACCCTCAGCAGTCGAAGGACCTCCAGCACCAGCAGCACGCCTCCAGCGCCGGGCAAACCACTCACGCAGCTCCTGTGGAGAAAGTGGCTCCCGGCGAGACGAAGCACTCGGAGAACCTCCAGGCGGAGCACCTCCAGGCTCAGCACCCCCAGGCGTAGCACCCCTAGGCTCAGCACCCCCAGACGTAGCACCCCTAGGCTCAGCACCCCCAGGCTCAGCACCCCTAGGCTCAGCACCCCCAGGCTCAGCACCCCCAGGCTCAGCACCCCTAGGCTCAGCACCCCTAGGCTCAGCACCCCCAGGCTCAGCACCCCTAGGCTCAGCACCCCCAGACGTAGCACCCCCAGGCCCAGCACCCCTAGGCTCCGCACCCCCAGGTACAGCACCCCCAGCCTCAGCACCCTCAGCAGCACCAGAGTCACCAGTGACCTCGACAGGCTCGACTGCGTCTACCTGGGACACACCTGAAGGGGCAGGACCCTGAGGGGGGAGGGGGTCTACCTGGGGGGGACCTGGTACCAGGAAGAGTGGGGGTGGGGGGAGGGACGGAGTGCGGTAGGGGAAGAGGCGGTAGTAGGGGACCGACTCGTCAAACGTGACGTCCTGGGAGGACAGAACACGGCGAGAGGTGGGGTGGTAAAACTGCCACCCAGGCGCGTCAGGGGGGAACCCCAGGAAGACGCAAGGAGCAGCACGAGGGGATAGTTTGTCCGCAGACAGGTCGCGGACAAACGCCCGAGATCCCCAGACCCGGAACGCCGACGCATCGCCAAC